GTGGGAGGAGTCATTTGGTGAGTTTTGTGCGAAATCCAATGGCTAAAACTATGTAATACACCAACACTCCATTAGAGAATGAACTTTGTACAAACATGAATAGTCCAATTTCATGGAGAGTCCAAAACTTGTGGAACATCATAATGTTGTGGGAGGAATCATTTGGAGAGTTTTGAGTGAAATCCAATGGCAAAAACTATGCAATACACCAACCACTCCACCTCAGAACGAACTTCGTACGAGCCTGAATTGTCCAATTTTTTGGACCAATTGATATGGGGAACACCATAATATGGTCGGAGGAGTCGTTTGGTGAGTTCTGAGCGAAATCCAACCTCTAAAACTGTGCAACGCACCAACCACTCCATTTTAGAACGAACTTTGTACGAACCTGAATTGTCCAATTTCATAGACCAATCGATATCGGATTGAGTCCGAAACTTCGGGAACATCATAATATGGTGGGAGGAGTCATCTGGTGAGCTTTGATTGAAATCCAATGGCTAAAACTATGCAATACACCAACGAATCCATTTCAAAATGAATTTCGTACGAACTTGAATTGTCCTATTTCATGGACCAATTGATATTGGATTGAGTCCAAAACTTGGGGAACATCATAATATGGTGGGAGGGATGATTTGGTGAGTTTTGAATGAAATCCAATTGCTAAAACAATGCAATACACCAACAACTCCATTAGAGAACGAACTTCGTACAAACATGAATAGTCCAATTTCTAGGACCAATCGATATCGGATTGAGCCCAACACATGGGGAACATCATAATATGGTGGGAAGGGTCATTTGGTGAGTTTTGAGTGAAATCCAACCGCTAAAACTATGCAATACACCAACCACTCCATTTTAGAACGAACTTTGTACGAACTTGAATTGTCCAATTTCATGGACCAATCGATATTTGATTGAGTCCAAAACTTGGGGAACATCATAATATGGTGGGAGAAGTCATTTGGTGGGTTTTGAGTGAAATCTATTCCCTAAAACTATGCAATAACCAACCACTCCATTTCAGAACGAATTTCGTACGAACCTGAATTGTTCAATTTCATGGAACAATCCATATCGAATTGAGTCCAAAACTTGGGGATATCTTAATATGGTGGGAGGAGTCATTTGGTGGTTTTGAGTGAAATCCAATGACTAAAACTATGGATTACACCAACAATCCATTTCAGGACGAACTTCATACGAACATGAATGGTCCAATTTCTTGGACCAATGGATATTGGATTGATCCCAAAACTTTGGGAATATCTCTTAAGGCCCAAAAAATCCACAGCTTGGCCCAAATATATTTTCGGCCCAATGCGATACCTTATCGAGAAGAAACCCAATTTGGGCACGCGAAAGTTCATCATATGCAGTTGCACATGCCACACCAAGCAAATAAGCAACACGCCCCGCTACAGCTTAAGTGGGCCCAAGCCACGCGAATGCCCGGGGCTTGCTTGAGTGGGTTGTTGTATGGATGGTAATAAATTGTTATGAGGCTCATTGATGGGCCGTGAAATAGAAGTCCCGGGTTGCTTGGGAGCTTCAGGACTCAACCCCCATTTCATAGGCCCAAACATGTGGGTGAGCACAAGAGAGAAAAGAATAGCCCATCACTCCAAACAAAAATAGCCCAACCAAAATAGCTTATTGACCCAACCAAAAAGCCCAAACGTGTGATAAAGAAAGCCCACTTACTTAATGAATCACCTTTCCCCATATAATTACCAAAATGAGCTATAAAAGCCCCAGCACTTGGCTGGAAAAACAAAAGCCACGAAGGGGAAGTATGAAGGTCCATTATACAATGCTGCTGGGAGGTTCCAGCACATGGGAAGACAACAAGTTTCAAGCAAAAGACATCCAAGGGACCAAGGAATATTGGAACGCAGATCACCCTTTGAACCAGCATGCATACCCATTCTCTTTCCGTCATCAGACCTGGCCATAAAAAAAGGAAGAAAGGAAAGGAAGGAGATGGCTGAAAATGGGAGTTTTGAGGCAGCTGTGGGAAAGGGCCTTGAGTTCCCAAAAATCCCTGATTTTGTGCAAATGGGCAGAGTAGATTTCACCAAAATAGGATGATTGAAGGTATGAGGGGAGAAAGGAAGGGAAAAACTTGGCCAAATTGGATAGAAACCATTAGGGTTTCTTGGAAAATGATAGCTGCCAGCGTCTATAAATAGAGGCATTTCCTACCCATCATCACAACACACATCTAGAGAGCAAGCTTCATCTCTCACTATGAAATCTTTGCAATTTCGTGCCCTATTCCTCCATCTCCTCTCACTTTCTCTTATGCCAAGCCATTCCAGAGTCTGACATAGCTCTTGTTAGGCTGCTGGAAACTTACCCAAACCACCAAATACTTAACCACTAGCCACAATCCACAACTAGAGACCAAGCTTCCTCTCTTACTTCCAAAACACAGCAATTTCGTGCTCAGCTCATCCTTTTCCCTTAGTTTTCCCTCTTGGCAAGCTGTTCTGACACTTGACAGAGTCTCTGTCAAGCTGTCGGAAAAACACTCAAGCCACATTTTTCTCTTTTTTTTTCCTCATGCTCAACCAAACATGTCTGCAAAATCCTTTCTTTCCAATCTTTCCCTTAGGAACACTTAGTTTTCTCTTCAGTGCTAAACTCATGACGATTTTCCTCCCATGCCACAAGCTTCTCATGCCAAGCTCGAAAATTTATCTATAAGCATCAACAAATCATCTGTAAGTTGCTGTTGTTTTGGTTGGTGAAGATAACCAAGATGCTTCCTAAGGCTCTACTGCCCTTTCGAAGCATATTTGGGGCTTGATTTTCGAACTCAGACAAAGGGGACAATTTCATCAATCTGCATTTACGGCAGCCTAGCCCATTTACAGCTGCCGGAAGAAAAAAGCCCCAACAACATAATATGGTGGGAGGAGTCATTTGGGGAGTTTTGAGTGAAATCCAATGGCTAAAACTATGCAATACACCAACCACTCCATTTCAGAACAAACTTCGTACGGTGAGTCCAAAACTTGGGGAACATCATAATATGGTGGGAGGAGTCATCTGGTGGGTTTTGAGTGAAATCCAACCTTTAGAACAATGCAATACACCAACAACTCCATTTTTGAACGAAATTCGTACTAACCTGAATTGTCCAATTTCATGGACCAATCGATTTCGGATTGAGCCAAAACTTGGAGCACAACATAATGTGGTGGGAGGAGTCATTTGGTGGTTTTGAGTGAAATATAATGGCTAAAACTATGCAATACACCAACCACTCCATTGAAGAACGAACTTCGTACAAACTTGAATTGTCTGATTTCACGGACCAATCAATATCGGATTGAGTCCAAAACATTGGGAACAACATAATAAGGTGGGTTTTGAGTGAAATCCGAACCCTACAACTAAGCAATACACCAACAACTCCATTTCAGAACGAACTTCATACGAACCTGAATTGTCCAATTTCTTGGACCAATCGATATCGGAGTGAGCCCAAAATTTGGGGAACATCATAATGTTGTAGGAGGAGTCATTTGGAGAGTTTTGAGTGAAATCCAATTGCAAAAACTATGTGTTTGGGCCTAAATTGGCACGCCCAACCCAACAAAAAGAGAAGCTCAGAATAAAGCTACAAGACTCAAATGGTTTGGTCTTTAAAACAGAAAGCAGAAGCCCAAAGTCCGGAAAGGCCTAGCCCAGGACTTATCAAACCAGACAAACAGACTTGGGCCTCAAAAAGAAAAAGTCACCAAAAAGGCTGCCCATTATTAAAAGAATTACCCTACTCCAGAAGACATTTCTTATAAATACAAGAAGGAGTGAACAGGGCAAAGGACAATCAATCTTACACTCAAATGATCGATCAAACAAACAACTCAAAACCAACCAAAAGCTCACTTGAATTCCAAGAAAAGCCAGCTTTAGATCATAATTCCCAAGGTCAAGACTTAGAAAATAAGTCATTTAAAATAAGATTTCTCTCGTTACAAATTTGGTTCAGCAAAAAACCAAGGTAGGTAGAGCTTGAGTTTTTCTCAAACATGAAAACCTCAACAAATTTCACAGTGCAGTCTTTAGCCCACTGAAGTCCCCAAGAACAGCTACTTCTGCCCTTTCAGACTGAAGAAACCGCAGTTCTGCCCATTCAAAAGCCTCACAAAGGCTTGAAGTAGATTAAAGCCCTGCCAGAATTGACCTTCGGTATCGATTTACAGCTGAAACTTAGCAGTTGAAGTTGTTGACAGTTCGATCCAGCCCAAATATTTCCAATCCAGCCCGAGTCAGATCCTCCTGTCCAGGCAGAAACGGAGTTCCAGCTGTCTTTTTATCTTTCTAGCGTGGGTATTTATTTTTATAGCTCTATAAAAGGCAGTTCTGCCTAAGACAGCTTAAATTCCATCAACGATTCTGGCCAGAACAACCTCTTTATACTGAGATAAATTGTTAAAGTCCTCACCAGTCTGAGGCAAGAAAAGAACTTACTTGGGAGATATTCCTCACCCAAATTCACAATCGTTTGTTTACAAAAATTAGTAACTTGGGGGGCAAATTTTCTATTCTAGAATGAATCTGCTAGAATCTTCATTGCTAGTAGTGGCATGCTCATACACCAAAGAAAGCTGACTTGTTGACCAGTCAATGGTTTTCAAGGCATTGGGGAACTTTGCCCTTCCATCTCAGGAGTAATCACGAAACGGGGTGAACAATTTGGCACGCCTAGTGGTACTTCTCAGTATACATACTCTGACAGAATTCTTCTCAAGTTTATGAATATTGGAAGCTCTAGCCAGAACCCACACCACGCTATGTAAATAAACCAGGTGGCTCTCAGGGAAGGACCGGAGTAAGAAGAAAGTGATGCCAGGCACTCAGCACAGAGCAGCACAGGGAGCAGACGATCCAGGATCGGCTCCAGAAGGATGAACCTGATATCGGAATCTGTGATGCGACAAGAGGTTACAACATAAAGGAGCCAGGACACTCTCAATAACATGACAGCCATGATGCAATGGCAGGTTAACAAGCAGTTTAGGAAGGACCGTGAGGCTGCCATGGCCAGAATTCCAAATCCGAATGCTGTAGTCCAGCAGCTAGACATTCCCTATGGCCCCCCACCAGGATTGGCATGGCCATATCAAGAGAATCCTCTTATCGCACAGATAGCTGGGATACCAGAACATGGGGAAATTCAGGCTGGACAGAGGGGAAGAGCCCTTCCTGTCCAAGAATGTCAGGCCCTAATCCAACCAGAAGGCCTTGTACCAGGACAGATTCAGCAGAACCGGCCAGAGCCTCAGCCTAGTCCACAACTCGTGGCCCCACAGGATTCGCCTTTGGCACTTCTGCCTGAACCACCAACAGTGTTGCCCTACAGACCCGGAAGGATGGATCCCAATCCATTCCCTCCACCTGCAAGAGGAAGGAGAGGCAGAGGGGGAAACTACCCTTTTGCCAACAATGACAGGAACAGGCTGGGGGCAAACTGGAGGAATCACCCAGATCTGGAAGAACATGAAGAACATAGGGAAGAAGTTCTGCCCAGGCCATATAGGGCGGAACCCAGGATTGACTACGCCCAACCAGAACAGGGGCAAAATCTCCTCCCTATCAATGCTTTAAATGACGTGGGGGCATTGCAAAGGATGATCAGAGAAATGATGGAGCCTGAAGCCAGAAGAGGAGAAAGGCCCACCTATAGAAAGCCATATCCAGCTTACATTGATCAGATACCCTTATCCCCAAGTTTCAAAATACCAAACTTCATTTTGTTCAACGGAGAGGATCCTCATGCTTCATCAGTTGAGCACATAGGCAGATTTTCTGTCCAGTGCATAGCCATAGAGAATAACCCTCTGTTAAAGCTAAGGCTTTTTGGGAATTCTCTCTCTGGACAAGCTTTCACTTGGTACACCAATCTGCTAGCCAATTCTATTCAAACGTGGGAGCAGATGGAAAGTGTTTTTCATGACTACTATTACAGGATTCAGCCAGAAGTCACCATCAGTGACCTTGCTGCCCTCAAGCAGAGTGAAGATGAACCTGCTCAAGACTTTATAACCAGTTTCAGAAAGCTCAAAATGAAGTGCGAGATCCCTATGGAAGAAAGACACTTGATCCAGATGGCTCAGGTTGCCCTCAAAATCTCTCTGAGAAAAAAATTTGATGGGATGCTGTTTGGAGATCTGGCAGAACTGGCAGATAAAGCATCCAAGTACGAGGAGCTGCTCAGGGAAGAACAGCAGAAGAGGAACTCTTCCATACATCTGATTGAGGTAGAGTCAGAAGAAGATGCAGAAGGCTCGGAGGAGAGAGAGATTGCAGTGGCAGAAATGGCAAAATTAAAACACCCCATTAGTTGTAAGGCTCTTACAAAGCCTCCAAGAGATCAGAAGCCGCCACCATTCATAGGAGGGTTTGTTCCAAACAAACCAACGTAGAACAAGGTTTATTCCTTTGATCTGACCAAGGTGGATGCTTTATTTGATGAAATGTTGCTACAGAAAGCAATAGAGAAGCCCCACAGGATGCCCAAGCCAGAAGAACTCTTGGGCAGACAGTATTGCAGATGGCACAACTCTTGGAATCATTCTACTAATAGTTGTGTTGTTTTCAGAGATGTTATACAGGAAGGGATAACAACAGGAAGGCTGAAGCTAGCGGAGAAACCTCCATTTGTCACAACAGACCCTTTTCCCCAACCACAAGTCAACATGGTCAACTTAAATTGGTCAGAACAGAAGAGGAGCAGACCAGCAACAGAAGCCAACTCCAGCAGAGGCAGAATAGCTTCAAGGGAGACTATTCAAAGACCAAAGGCAACCATCTCAGCTGGGGTAGTGCTCTGCAGCAAGTGCAAATGTGAAGCTGAGCTAGAAGTGGTCCTGGACAGACAAAACTAGCCCACTCCGAGTGTTTTTGATCGAATTGGAACCACATCCCATGATAGAGCCAGGCAGAAGGACTATCCCAGGCCTGTCCGACGTAGCAGGGGAATGACTAAGCAACCCAAGGAGGAAATATCAATAAAAATGCCCGGGAATGAGAAACCTCTGGCAGCTATCATAGAAGGCAGGTGGTATTCTGTTGGGAAGAGCGGCAGACCAACTATGAAGCTAACCAGAACTCAAAAAAGGACAGTACTGCACATTCCTCAATAACAAGAGTAATGCGCAGATGCTCCCAGAGGCCAATTCTACCAAAAAAGGGAAAAAGCCGGAAGTGCTGCCCCAGGCAGAACAAGTAACCTCCCAGCTGCAAAAGCTGATGAAAGCAGAATCTTCAAGGAAACCTTCTATCCATCCTGCCTCCACCTCAGGAAATCAACTTGAAACTCCACAACCACAAGGAAAATCCGATCTGATTCCAGTAGAAGGACAAGAAGACTGGACTAAGGAATATGAAGAGGAGCAGTTAGATTATGAGCCATCTGCAGATGACCAGAATGCACTCCTCGGAGCAGGAGAACAGGGAGACTGAACAGAGGAATATGGGGAGGAACAGATGGAGTATGACGGAGAATTGGATGCAGAAACTGAGGCTTTTGGTGCGGAATTGGAGGACTTGTTACAAGGTGACCTAGGCATTAATATGGTATTCATTCTGCCAGAAAAGTTCAGGGCTGCGAAAGGACAAGAAAGCACTCTGGAAGGAGATGTGCTCTCTCAGGAGAGTTTCTAATGCAAATTGGCAGAAGCAGAATAGCAAACAGGTAGTCACAGGACAGGAGGAACTACCAACAAACTGGCTGCAGAACAGCTTTGCTTCTCCAAACCAACCAAAGAGATGGCCAATCACCTCAGACCCTTGTTCATAACAGCAAATTTTGGGGGTGTCCCCATTCCCAAGGTCATGGTAGATGGGGGGGTAGCCATTAATCTTCTGCCTCATAGAATGCTGAGCAATATGGGTAGAACAAAGAGGGATTTGATTCCAACACGCTTGACTATCACCAACTTCGCAGGGGGCATCACCAAAACTCATGGGATCTTAGATGTGGACGTCATAGTTGGGAGCAAGAAGCTGAAGATTGCATTCTTTGTGGTAGACACCACTTCTACCACTTACAATGCACTGCTTGGCAGAGACTGGATTCATCAGATTCTATGTGTCCCCTCCACTCTTCATCAACAATTAGCTCTGTGGAATAAAGAAGGTTACATGAAGATAGTAGAGGCCGATCCACGACCATTTCTGCCTTCTGCCATGTGTTTTGAGGCAAGGTACTATCATGATGACCTTGGTCCTTTCACCTTCCTTAGAGTCAACCAGAACGGCCGCCCCCATGGTGTCACGGCCCAGAGGCTCATTGAAGATGGTCTAACAAGTTCCCTAGAGGACTGGAATAGACCTTTTGTTCTAAACTTCCGAAACTCTGATGTTTAGTCCCAATCAACAGGAGAAGGATCGAGCTGCAACAATCCGATCCATTACAAAAACATTGTTGATATAGTGGGAGGAAAGAAAGCTCTTCATGCAAAATCCAGTCATCAATATGGCAGAATTCACTCATGAAAGTACGAAAGACCAGGAGGAGGAAGTGTTAGATTTTGCGCCAGCAGCACTGGATGACTCTCTGCCATAAGTGGAAGATTCTTTACAAGAAATAAACCTAGGGACAGAAGAGGATCCAAGACCTACTTTTATTAGCGCACTGTTGAAAGAACTACTTAAGAGTCAGCTCATTGCACTTTTGCAGGAGTTCAGAGACTGTTTTGCTTGGCATTATCAGGAAATGCCAGGATTAGACAGGGAATTGGTGGAGCACAAGCTACCAATCAAAGAGGGATACCTTCCAGTCAAACAGGCCAGAAGAAGAATGTCTATGGACATAGAACTGAAGGTCAAAGAAGAAATAGAAAGGTTGCTCAAGGCAGGATTCATCAGACCAGCCATCTATGCTGATTGGCTAGCTAATATTGTACTAGTTCTGAAAAGAAAAATTGGGGTAGTCAGAATCTGTGTGGATTACAGAAATCTGAATGAAGCTTCTCCCAAGGATGAGTACCCTATGCCAATGGCATACATGCTGGTAGATGGAGCTGCTCATAACCAGATGCTGTCTTTTATGGATGGCAATGCAGGTTACAATCAGATCATGGTGGCAGAAGAAGACATCCACAAGACAGCCTTCATGTGTCCAGGACATATTGGTGCTTTTGAGTACACTGTAATGCCTTTTGCCTTAAGAAATGCAGGAGCTACTTATCAAAGGGCAATGAATTCTGTCTTCCATGATATGATAGGGCATTCTTTGGAAGTGTATATCGATGATGTGGTGATTAAATCCCCAGAGGAGGGAAACCACATATCAAATCTAAGGAAGGCATTCCTAAGAATGAGGCAACATAAACTGAAGATGAACCCAAAGAAGTGTGTTTTTGGAGTTCAAGCAGGAAATTTCCTAGGATTCTTGGTCCACCAGAGAGGCATAGAAATTGATAAAAACAAAGCAAGTCCATCATAGAAGCTCTACTGCCTAGGAACAAGAAAGAAATGCAGAGTCTCCTAGGAAAAATTAATTTTCTAAGGAGATTCATATCCAATTCTGCAGGAAAGATCCAGCCTTTCTCGTCTTTGTTGAGATTGAAACAAGAACAGAACTTCAAGTGGGAAGAACAGCACCAACAAGCTTTTGAGGAAATCAAACGTTACCTCTCAAATCCATCAGTTCTGTCCCCACCAAAGAGAGGCAGACCACTCAAGCTCTATGTATCTGCATCAGAGGTATCCATTGGAAGTCTGTTAGTACAAGATAACAAAGAAGGGAAGGAGCAAGCAGTCTACTATCTGAGCAGAACTCTGACAGAAGTAGAAAGAAAATATTCTCCAATTGTAAGACTTTGCCTAGCCTTGTACTTCACGGCTGTGAAGCTCAGACATTACATGCTGCCATACACCATCTACATCATTGCCAAGACAGATTTGATTAAATACATGCTGACCAGGCCAATGTTGAGAGGCAGAATAGGGAAATGGACCTTGGCCTTAACAGAATTTGCCTTCAGATATGTTCCTCAGAAAGCTATCAAAGGACAAGCTGTGGCAGACTTCGTAGGAGATCATCCTGGGGAGGAGATTGAAAACATGGACTCTTTGGACATAGCAAATGCAGATCTATTGACCAGAGCTCACACTTGCCTCAACAATTCTATCTATTCAGTTCATCTCACACCTTGGAAGATGTATTTTGATGGATAAAAAACTGATATAACTTCTGGGGCAGGAATTGTTTTGGAAGAACCACTTGGAATCAGACACTGTTACTCTTTCCAGTTAGATTTCCAGTGCACCAACAATAGGGCAGAGTATGAGGCTCTAATCATAGGCTTAGAGATGCTGGTGGAACTAGGAATCCAATCTGTGGAAATTTTGGGAGATTCTATGCTTGTGCTAAAACAGATTGCTGGAGAATACAAATGCCTAAGTCCTTCTCTGGCTATGTACTTAGTAGCAGCTAGGAATCTTCTAATAGAATTCTGAGAGGCTACTTGGGAACACATCCCAAGAGAACAAAACTTTGTAGCCAATGACCTGGCTTAGGTAGCAACAGCATACAAATGCCTGAAGATTGTGTGCAAAGAATCATCAAGGTAGGGAAGAAAAGCCTACCATCTGTTCTGACCAGAGGGATGGAGATAGATGTCAATTCTACCACGATCACTGAAGATGATTGGAGAAATTCTATCATGACTTACTTACAATATCCAACTCTGCCCTCTGAAAAGAGAGTCAGAATCATGGCTATGAACTACCTTATGTGGAATGAAGATTTGGTCCGAAAAAGCAAGGATGAGGTACTATTAAGGTGCCTCGGAAGGAAAGAATACATGAAAGTCATGGGAGAGATTCATGAAGGGATCTGTGGAGCCCACCAAGGAGGAAGAAAAATGTGCTGGTTAATCAGGAGATATGGCTATTTCTGGCCAACCATGATGAAAGATTGCATTGACTATTCCAAAGGTTGTGAGTCTTGTCAAAGGCACGGCCCAATCCAGCAGGCTCCTTCAGTTCCCATGAATCCAGTGGTAAAGCCATGGCCTTTTAGAGGATGTGCAATGAATCTCATTGGTAAGATCTATCCAACCAGCAGCCAGCAACACTGTTTTATTATTGTTGCTACAGACTATTTCACCAAGTGGGTGGAAGCCAAGCCTGTTAAATCCACTACATCTCAAGAGATCATCACCTTCATAGAAGAACAAATTATACAGAGGTTTGGCATTCCAAAATCAATCACAACTGATAGGGGATTTTCTTTCATATCTGGAGAGATGCTGGATATGGTAGAGGCATTCAAATTCAGGCTACTTCAATCCACTCCCTACTATGCTCAAGCTAATGGACATTATCAGAAAAATAATCATCAACATTATCAGAAAAACGCTTGAGAAAAATCCGAAGCAATGGCATGAGAAGCTATCAAAAACTGTGGGCATATAGAACTTCAAAGAGAGAAGAAACTGGCATGACCCCCTATGCTCTAACTTATGGCCATGATGCAATTATGCCTATGGAGATAGCTGTTCAGTCCCTCAGAATTACTCACCAACATGATTTGGTTGGAGAAAATTACTCTCAAGCCATGCTGCTAGAACTAGAAGGATTGGATGCAAGAAGAATTGACACCCTCAATAAACTACTGGCAGGAAAGCAAGCTGTGTCAAGGGCCTACAACAAAAGAATAAAGAACAAGAGTTTTGAGGAACGCGAGATAGTCTGGAAAGTAGTTCTGCCCCTTGGAACACATGTGGTTGGTTATAGAAAGTGGTCACCTACATGGGAAGGCCCTTTCATAATCAACCAGATCCTTGGAATAGGGGCATACAGGTTGCAGGATCGAGAGGGGGAAGTCCATGTTGCCCCAATCAACGGCAAATGGTTGAAAAAGTTTTTTCCAACTATGTGGGACTCACAAGCTGTACAGACAGATCCCGGGATAGAGAAGGAACAACCCTGAAACTGTTTCTTTCAGATTCTGGCCAGGATTTATTTTTACTCTAAGTTGTTTAACGTTTGTTTCCCTTTCGTTTTTTTTTTTTACTACTTCTGTTTATTTCATCAAAAGAAATTGAAAACCAAAAAATTCCAACAAAAAATACACTTTATTTAAAATAAATAGCCATGGGGCCTCCCCATGGCAAATTCTTCGTCATAAAGCAAAATTGAAAAGATAAATAAATACTAAAATTCAAAACCCTAACTTCCTAAGGGTTTCTTGCAAGTTACCTTTCTTTATGGAGAGTTCCTTTTGAAGCAGCACCCCCTGATGGATTGAAGCCTCTGCAATCTCTAGGGCTGGCCTGGAAGCTGCAGCATGCTCTGCACAAGGAAGGTAGCGTTAGTCTTGGAGCTCAGTCCAGCCCCGAGCCTGTTCTGCACTTCCCTGCACTCTGCCAGCTGTTTTTTAAGCTTTTCAATCTACTTCTCCAGCTTGTCTGCCTTGGCTTCCTTGTATCCCGCCACTATCTGGTCCAGTTCTGCCTTCTGCTTTGCAAAATCAGCCAAGTTGGCTTCATGAGTGGCCTTGCAGAACTCAGAGGTTTTGAAGGTAGGCTTGAGATCCTCATACCGGTTGTGAAGGTTGAGCACATCCCTTGCCAGACCAAGGCTCATCTCGAGTATAGGTTTAGGGGCCATGTTCGGTCTGTGCAGCAGGTCCAGATCCTTCATCAGCTGGTCAATGGCTTCCCTATCCTCATCTAACTCCAGTTCATTAGACTGCCAGATCTTCAGCCCCTCCATAGCCTCCTCCACTGCCTTGGATTTTGCCTTACCTATAGGAGAGCTAAGCATCTCCAATCTGTCTAGTTGGGCATCTAAGTCCATGGCTTCAAACTGTGTCAATTCTGGATTAGCAAAGGAGGTTGTGGCAGATGAACCTGGAAGGGAATGAATAGGCATCTGCAGAAGGAAGCATAAGTCAAAACAGGCAGAAACAGAAAAGAAAAACCCAAAAATATAATGAACACTTACAGCAACAATTGGGGGCTTCAAGGGGCTAGTCACCACTGACAGGGGACCAACAGATCTGGACACTTCTACCTGGAAAGACTACAACGATTAAAGAAGTAGAAAACATAATAGAATTGCAGAAAATGTGAGCAGAATTAGAAGAAAAATTACCATAACTTCACGAGCAGAGGCATCCACTTCTGCTCCAGCAGTAGAGTGTTCTGGAACCACCACAGCCTGGTCCACAGGTTCTGACACAGACTGTCCTGCCTGCTCCTCAGCCGCTGGAATAGCAGTAGAGTGTTCTGCCTCTAGATCCTCAAACAGGGCTAGCTCTGAGCTAGGCAGCCCTGCCCTTGTATCTTCTTATTATTTCTGAGCCAGCGCAATACTCTCTGCTATCACCTCAGCAGGAATTTCCTCCTACAGATAGAAGAAGTCAGGACAGAATGAATAAAAGACAGCAGAAACTGATACAACCAGAAAAACAAGACTCACCTCTTCTTCCATTGTCTTGGCCTTCTCCTGAGGCCCCTCTCCTACTTCTTCCAGCTCTTCCAACTCCTTCTCTTGCTCCACAGCCTCAAAAGCCTCTCTCAGTTCTTCATCCGTGTCTGAAGTGGCGTTGGGAGCTGCAGCAGTTCCTTCTGCGGTCACATATTCCACCACCGTCCTCTTTCTAAGCCTTTTTGACTTAGAAGGAGGAGGAGAAAGATCTTCAGCTGAAATAGGAAGAAAATAGGCCATTAGAACATAGGCCATAACAGAACAGAACTATGGAAAAATTGTCAAAATTCACTTGAAGTCGCAGGTTGAGCAGTTTCCTTTCTTTTCCTTCTGACCGAAGGAGTGGCCTCAACGGGAGTCTGTTCTGCTTGATCTTCTTCTTCTTCTTCCTCTCCAGAAGGAAGCTCCAGGTCCCCAGCAGTTGTGACAGAAGTAACTGCACAAGAAATGACAATTTCAGAAATCAATCTAGCAGGAAAAGGTAGAAGGAACAGAAGAATAGAAAATTTACCAAACACTTCTCCAGCTTGGGCAGACTGACCCACTAACGTTCTGTGTCAAAAAAGGATCTGTTGCACACAAAACAAAGTGTTAGATATCACCATTAGAAAAAGAATAAACAGAACAGACAATTGAGACACTACCTTCCAGAGCTTGGGCATTGATGTCCTTTATGGTCTGCACCATAAACTTGTGAGTCTCCTCTCCTGTACGAAGGGCCCAGCCATCCCAGCCATCAAAAAGCACTACCAGATTTCGAAATCGAGCTTTCCACCAGGCGTCAAAATCGGCAGGCGTCAAAATAGGGCTTCTGCACTGTTGTTTATCTTGTTCACTGCACATTTGGCATCCTTATGCACCTCCAGGTCATCCAGGTCCCTCCAAGAAGAAGCCCGATTGCAGCTCCTGTAGGATTTGAGTGAAATAAGCTGTGGTCAGCCAAGCTGCCTTGCAAAAAAGTTGGGGTGATACACTTCTGCCCCCAGATGATAATTGGGAGGCTTCCCACCACCATGGGGCAGGTCTCTTGGGAGGGTCACACTCAGGAACTTCTTCTTGAAATCAATTCTAGCTGCTTCTTCTTCCGGCTCTTTCTCAAACAAACGGTATCCAGGCTGGAACCAAGGATAGGTTCTCCTGATCACCACTTGTCACTGAGCTGCTGATCTTTTCGTCCAGTGCCTGAAGAACATCAGGTACTCTTCAATAGAACGCTTGGGCACTTCTGCCGACATCAATAGCTGAGCCAGAACCTGATCCTCAGGCAGAACTATATATGGAAACCTCAGTTCTGGGAAATAGACCTACAACCAGATCTGGATAATCCAAAATGCACCAGGAGCAAACAGATTCAGTGGATTCTCCAGGGTGGCAGTATGCAGGTTCTTGAATAGATGAGCCAGAACTGTAGGCCCGAGGCCAATATCAATGTGATTGTGCAAAGCTTCTGCCAGATGTCTGTACTCAAGCAGAAATGCAAAAGAGCGGTTGGGCCAAATAAACCTGTTCAGCCAATACAGAAGGAACATCATGTGCTATTGGTCCTTGTCCTTCTCAGCACTGAATTTCCTGAGATAATTGGAGAAGGAGCAGTTCTGGTTAATAAGGGCTGGAGAAATGGTGAATGGCTTGGTTAGTTTCTGCTGGTTCTTCCTCCTGTGATAATCACCAACAACATGAACAGGTCTTCCATGGGGCCTGAACCCGAAAATCTGAGCCATGTCCAACAGAGTTGGAGCCATGGGGCCTATGCGAAAGTCGAAAGTGTTACTGGCAGAATTCCAGACACACAGGGCAACAGCAAGCAAGTTCTCATCTCTATTGACAGATTGCTTGGATAGAAGTATGACGTCATAAATACCAGCCCGCTTCCAGTGAGGTCCATATCTTGGAAGGAGTCTGTCAATCCAGTCTACCCATTTCACTGAACTATTTCTCACTTCACTAGACGGGAAAGACCGGCTCAAATTCTTGCTAACCTAAGAATGAGAAGCCAGAGCAGAAGTGCTCTCAAAACATAAAGGAGCCTCAGCATCCTTCTTCATCAGTTCTGCCATCTCAGGAGGAACAGGACCAAACTAGTGAGGCCTCAACACTAAGGTATTCTAGAACAAATGAAGGACATTCTCATCTAGGTTTTTCTGGGCAAAAGGATGGAGCTTGCTCCTAACCTCTATCGCGTGGTTGTCAATTCCAGTCCCAGTAATATAATCTAGAGGAACTGGAATAGAGGAAGACTAAGCGCGAGATTTCGGGGAAGACATTTCTCAGGATTGTTTTTTGAAGAACAAAGGAAGTTGATAGGAAAGGCAAGGCAGGTTCTAGCAAAAAGAGAGTTGTCGAAGAGAAGCTCAAAGGAGTAAAGTATGAAATACTAGGTTTTCGGATGAACAGGAACAATGGGTTTTTGAATTTCTCTTAAGGAAGCTCGAAAACGTGGGAAAGAGAAGACAGGGACGTGGAAAAGACAAGGCGTCATCTGATATTGAAAGAGCTAGTAACTAAGCAGTTTCCCATGAACACTAGCTTAGTGGGAAGACGTGGCAGAAACAGGCACGCGGCAATTTAATGGCCAATTCATTTAAGTCTGAAACCGTTCCGAAAACGATTCAGACTTAGGGGGCATTGTTTGGGCCTAAATTGGCACGCCAAACCCAACAAAAAGAGAAGCTCAGAATAAAGCTACAAGACTCAAATAGTTTGGTCTTTAAAACAGAAAGCAGAAGCCCAAAGTCCAGAAAGGCCTAGCCCAAGATTATCAAACCAGACAAACAGACTTGGGCCTCAAAAAGAAAAAAGTCACCTTTTGGGGTCCAGACAAAATAGGCCCAGCACGATTTGGATAAAGAAAGGGACCCATTTTTAGAACCCACGTGACATCTTTTTCTTATCAGATTTGGAAAAGTCAACAAAACCAGCAATTACAGAGATGATTAGAGAGGGTCAATAGCTGGCAAAAACTGGGAAGAGACAGCTATGAAAAATCTAAAGATCAAATCCCCTCTTATGTATATTCTGGGATATTGTCTCCACTCCAAAGGAGGCACCATCTTGTCAGAGAAATACGCAGGCTATATTTTTCAAAAGATAAAGCAAGAAACAGGGAGTTGTTCAAACTGGGAATCAGACTAACCATCACGATTTTTTGAGCTCTCACAAAAGGGGCAGTTGAAATTTTAGGTTCTCTTCCAAGAAAAATAGGGAAGTGATTGCCTATTAAGAACCTATCTACCAAAACCTGATGAAATCCCCTTTTCTTTTCCATTTTAAAAGGAATATCTTTTTGAAAGGATTTGCCGCCCATTATTAAAAGAATTACCCTACTCCAGAAGACATTTCTTATAAATACAAGAAGGAGTGAACAGGGCAAAGGACAATCAATCTTACACTCAAATGATCAATCAAACAAACAACTCAAAACCAACCAAAAGCTCACTTGAATTCCAAGAAAAGCCAGCTTTAGATCAGAATTCTCAAGGTCAAGACTTAGAAAATAAGTCATTTAAAACGATATTTCTCTCGTTAGAAATTTGGTTCAGCAAAAAACCAAGGTAGGTAGAGCTTGAGTTTTTCTCAAACATGAAAACCTCAACAAATTTCACAGTGCAGTCTTTAGCCCACTGAAGTCCCCAAGAACAGCCACTTCTGCCCTTTCAAACTAAAGAAACCGCAATTCTGCCCATTCAAAAGCCTCACAAAGGCTTGAAGTAGATTAAAGCCCTGCCAGAATTGACCTTTGGTATCGGTTTACAGCTGAAACTTAGCAGTTGAAGTTGTTGATAGTTTGATCCAGCCCAGATATTTCCAGTCCAGCCCGGGTCAGATCCTCCTGTCCAGGCAGAAACGGAGTTCCAGCTGTCTTTTTATCTTTCTAGCGTGGGTATTTATTTTTATAGTTCTATAAAAGGCAGTTCAACCATTCTGGCCAGAACAACCTCTTTATACTGAGATAAATTGTTAAAGTCCTCACCAGTCTGAGGCAAGAAAAGAACTTACTTGGGAGATATTCCTCACCCAAATTCACAATCGTTTGTTTACAGAAATCGGTAACTTGGGGTGTAAGTTATCAATTCTAGAATGAATCTGCTAGAATCTTCATTGCTAGCTGTGGCACGCTCACAGACCAAAGAAAACTGAATTGTTGACCAGTCAATGGTTTTCAAGGCAGTGGGGAACTTTGCCCTTCCATCTAAGGAGTAATCACGAAACGGGATGAACAATACGCAATACACCAACCACTCAATTCAGAACGAACTTCGTACGAACCTGAATAGTCCAATTTCGGGGACCAATCGATATCGGATTGAGCCCAAAACTTGGGGAAAATCATAATATGGTGGGAGGAGTCATTTGGTGGTTTTTTGAGTGAAATCCAATCTAAAACTATGCAATACACCAACCACTCCATTTTAGAACGAACATCGTACGAACCTGAATTGTCCGATTTCATGGACCAATCGATTTCGGATTGAGTCCAAAACTTGGGGAACATCTTAATATGGTGGGAGGAGTCATTTGGTGAGTTTTGAGTGAAATCCAATGGCTAAAACTATGCAATACACCAACCACTCCATTTCAGAACGAACTTCGTACGAACCTAAATTGTCCAATTTCATGGACCAATCGATATCGGATTGAGCCCAAAATTTGGGGAACAACATTATGGTGGGAGGAGTCATTTGGTGTGTTTTGAGTGAAATCCAATGGCTAAAACTATGCAATACACCAACCACTCCATTTCAGAAAACGAACTTCGTACGAACCTGAATAGTCCCTTGGACCAATCGATATCGGATGGAGTCCAAAACTTGGGGGAAAATCATAATATGGTGGGAAGAGTCATTTGGTGGTTTTGAGTGAAATCCAACATCTAAAACTATGCAATACACCAACCACCCCATTTTAGAACGAACATCGTACGAACCTGAATTGTCCATTTTCATGGACCAATCGATTTCGGATTGAGTCCAAAACCTGGGGAATATCATAATGTTATGGGAGGAGTAATTTGGTGAGTTTTAAGTGAAATATAACGGCTAAAACTACATAATACACCAACCACTCCATTGAAGAACGAACTTGAATTGTCTGATTTCATGGACCAATCGATATCGGATTGAGTCCAAAACACGGGGAACATCATAATATGGTGGGTTATGGGTGAAATCCAATCCTTACAACTAAGCAACACACCAACAACTCCATTTCAGAACGAACTTCATACGAACCTAAATTAGTCCAATTTCTTGGACCAATCGATATCGGATTGGGCCCCAAAATTTGGGGAACAACATAATGTTGTGGGAGGAGTCATTTGGTGGTTTTGAGTGAAATCCAATTGCAAAAACTATGCAATACACCAACCACTCCATTTCAGAAAACGAACTTCCTACGAACCTGAATAGTCCGATTTCATGGACCAATCGATATCGGATTGAGCCCAAAACTTGGGGAACAATAATAATATGGTGGAAGGAGTCATTTGGTTTTTGAGTGAAATCAAACATGGCTAAAACTGCGCAATACACCAACCACTCCATTTTAGAACGAACTTCCTACGAACCTGAATAGTCCGATTTCATGGACCAATCGATTTCGGATTGAGTCCAAAACTTGGGGAACAACATAATATGGTGGGAGGAGTCATTTGGTTGGTTTTGAGTGAAATCCAATGGCTAAAACTATGCAATACACCAACCACTCCATTTCAAAACGAACTTCCTACGAACCTGAATTGTCCAATTTCATGGACCAATCGATATCAGATTAAGCCCAAAATTTGGGGAACAACATAATTTTGTGGGAGGAGTGATGTGGAGAGTTTTCAGTGAAGTCCAATTGCTAAAACTATGCAATACACCAACCACTCCATTAGAAAACGAACTTCGTACGAACATGAATAGTCCAATTTCATGGACCAATCGATATCGAATTGAGCCCAAAACTTGGGGAAAATCATAATATGGTGGGAGGAGTCATTTGGTGGTTTTGAGTGAAATGCAACATTTAAAACTATGCGATACACCAACCACCCCATTTTAGAAAGAAAATCGTACGAACCTGAATTGTCTGTTTTCATGGACCAATCGATTGCGGATTAAGTCCAAAACCTGGGGAACATCATAATGTTATGGGAGGAGTAATTTGGTAGTTTGGAGGAGAAATATAATGGCTAAAACTACGCAATGCACCAACCCCTCCATTTCAGAACGAACTTCGTACGAACCTGAATTGTCCAATTTCATGGACCAATCGATATCGGATTGAGTCCAAAACTCGGGGAACATCATAATATGGTGGGTTTTGAGTGAAATCCAATCTCTACAAATAAGCAATACACCAACAACTACAGTTCAGAACAAACTTCATACGAACCTGAATTGTCCAATTTCTTGGACCAATCAAAATCGGTTTGAGCCCAAAATTTGGGGAGCACCGAAATGTTGTGGGAGGAGTCATTTGGTGAGTTTTGAGTGAAATTCAACATCAAAAACTATGCAATACACCAACCACCCCATTTTAGAACGAACATTGTACGAACCTGAATTGTCCATTTTCATGGACCAATTGATTTCGAATTGAGTTCAAAACTTGGGGAACATCATAACATGGTGTGAGGAGTAACCAACAACTCCAGTTCAGAACAAACTTCATACGAACCTGAATTGTCCAATTTCATGGACCAATCAATATCGGATTGATTCCAAAACGTTGGGAAAATCATAATATGGTGGGGGGAGTCATTTGGTGAGTTTTGAGTGAAATCCAACATCTAAAACTATGCAATACACCAACCACTCCATTTTAGAACGAACATCGTACGAACCTGAATTGTCCGATTTCATGGACCAATCGATTTCGGATTGATTCCAAAACATGGGGAACATCACAATATGGTGGGAGGAGTCATTTGGTGACTTTTGAGTGAAATCGAGTGGCTAAAACTGTGCAAAACACCAACCACACCATTTCAGAACGAACTTCATACAAACCTGAATTGTCCAATTTCTTGGACCAATCGATACCGGATTGAGCCCAAAACTTGGGGAACACCACAATACGGTGGGAGGAGTCGTTTGGAGACTTTTGAATGAAATCGAGTGGCTAAAACTATGCAATACACCAGCCAATCCATTTTAGAACAACTTCGTACAAACCTGAATTGTCCAATTTCATGGACCAATCGATATCGAATTGAGTCCAAAACTTGGGGAACACCACAATATGGTGGGAGGAGTCATTTGGTGTTTTGAGTGAAATCCAATGGATAAAACTATGCAATACACCAACCACTCCCTTCAGAGCGAACTTCGTACGAACCTGAATCGTCCAATTTCTTGGACCAATCGATATCATATTGAGTCCAAAACTTGGGGAACATCATAATATGGTGGGAGGAGTCATTTGGTGTGTTTTGAGTGAAATCCAATATATAAAACTATGCAATAAACCAACCACTCCATTTCAACGAACTTCGTACGAACCTGAATCGTCCAATTTCTTGGACCAATCGATATCGGATTGAGTCCAAAACTTGGGGAACATCATAATATGGTGGGAGGAGTCATTTGGTGGGTTTTTGAGTGAAATCTAATAATAAAACTATGCAATACACCAACCACTCCATTTCAGAACGAACTTCGTACGAACCTGAATCGTCCAATTTCAAGGACCAATCGATATCGTATTGAGTCCAAAACTTTGGGAACATCATAATATGGTGGGAGGAGTTATTTGGTGTGTTTTGAGTGAAATCCAATGGATAAAACTATGCAATACACCAACCACTCCATTTCAGAACGAACTTCGTACGAACCTGAATCGTCCAATTTCATGGACCAATCGATATCGGATTGAGTCCAAAACTTGGGGAACATCATAATAGGGTGGGAGGAGTCATTTGGTGGGTTTTGATGGAAATCCAATAACTAGAACTATGCAATAAACCAACCACTCCATTTCAGAAAAAACTTTGCACGAACCAGGATTGTCCAATTTCATGGACCAATCGATATCAGATTGAGTCCAAAACTTGGGGAACATCATAATGTGGTGGGAGGAGCCACTTGGTGGGTTTTGAGTGAAATCCAACCTTTAGAACAATGCAATACACCAACCACTTCATTTCAGAACGAACTTCGTACGAACCTGAATAGTCCAATTTCTTGGACCAATCGATATCGGATTGGGCCCAAACTTGGGGAACACCATAATATGGGGGGAGGAGTCATTTGGTGTGTTTTGAGTGAAATCCAATTACTAAAACTATGCAATACACCAACCACTCCATTGAATAACGAACATCGTACGAACTTTAATTGTGCGTTTTCATGGACCAATCGATATAGGATTTTGTTCAAAACTTGGGGAACATCATAATTTGGTTGGAGGAGTCATTTGGTGGGTTTTGAGTGAAATCCAATATCTACAACAGTACACCAATAACTCCATTTCAGAACGAACCTCATAAGAACATGAATTGTTCACTTTCTTGGACCAATCAATATCGGATTGAGCCTAAAACTTGGGGAACAACACAATATGGTGGAAGGAGTCATTTGGTGAGTTTGGAGTGAAATCCAATGGCTAAACCTATACAATACACCAACCAATACATTTTAAAACGAACTTCATATGAACCTAAATTGTCCAATTTCATCGACCAATCGATATCGGATTGAGTCCAAAACTTGGGGAACATCATAATGTTGTGGGAGGAGTGATTTGGAGAGTTTTGAGGGAAATCCAATTGCTAAAACTATGCAATACAACGACCACTCCATTAGTGAACGAACTTCGTACGAACATGAATAGTCCAATTTTGTGGACCGATCAATATCGGATGGAGCCTAAAACGTGGGGAAAATCATAATATGGGGGGAGGAGTCATTTGTTGAGTTTTGAGTGAATCCAACCTCTAAAACTACGCATACACCAACAACTCCATTGAATAACGAACTTCGTATGAACCTGAATTGTCCGATTTCACGGACCAGTCGATATCGGATTCAATCCATTATAATTTGGTGGGAGGAGTCATTTGGTGGGTTTTGAGTGAAATCCAATATCTACAACTAAGAATAAACCAACAACTCCATTTTAGAACGAACTTCATAAGGACCTAAATTGTCCAATTTCTTGGAGAGTTTTGAGTGAAATCAAATGGCTAAAACTATGCAACACAGCAAATACTCCATTTCAGAACAAATTTCGTATGAACCTAAACTGTCTGATTTCATGGACCAATCGATATCGGATTGAGCCCAAAACTTGAGGAACATCATAATCTGGTGGGAGGAGTCATTTGGAGAGTTTTGAGTGAAATCCAACGGCTCAAACTATGCAAATACATCAACCATTCCATCTCAAAACAAATCGATATCGGATTGAACCCAAAACATGGACCAATCGATATCGGATTGAACCCAAAACATGGGGAACATCAAAATATGGTGGGAGGAGTCATTTGGGGAGTTTTGAGTGAAATCCAGT